TAAGAGAAAAATATTTGTTTTTTAGGGGAGAAACCCAAAAAGCCCCCAAGGTAAAAAACAGCCGGGATTAATACCGCAAGAAAAAAAAACGGTTATAAGTGAAACAACGGGGTATGAAAAGTCTTCTTTTACTGTTGTGCTTGGCTGCCATGCTAATGGACAGAAACTGCCGCCTATGGTGATTTTTAAGCGAAAGACTTTGCCTAAAGAGAAGTTTCCAGCAGGAATCATCATTAAGGCAAATGAAAAGGGCTGGATGGATGAGGAAATGATGAAAGAGTGGCTGAGGGAGGTGTATGTAAGGAGACCAGGTGGTTTTTTCCACGCATCACCATCGCTCTTAATCTGTGACTCTATGCGTGCCCATCTCACAGCCGATGTGAAAAAACTAGTGAAACAAATGAACTGTGAGCTTGCTGTCATTCCGGGAGGCCTGACAAAGGAACTCCAACCGCTGGACATCGGTGTGAACCGCCCGTTCAAAGTAAGGCTGCGAGCGGCCTGGGAGCGATGGATGACCGATGGAGACCACAGTTTCACTAAGAGTGGAAGGCAGCGCCGGGCGAGTTACGCCACAATTTGCCAATGGATTGTAGATGCTTGGGCTAACATGTCTGCTGGCACTGTTGTTCGAGCTTTCGCAAAAGCCGGCATCATTTCCGAGGAGCCGCACGGCACGGAAAGTGACTCTGACAGTGAAGAAAGTGAACCTGGCATGTTTGATGGAGATTTAGCGCAGCTGTTCAATTCAGACACAGAGGATGAGGACTTCGATGGGTTTGATTGATGATAAAAATGTGAGTACCAAACTTTGTTTTGCTCCTGCTTTATTTTTAAATAGCACACTTGTATGCTTGTGTGTTGTTGATGATGACGATTACCGGTAATAGAAATGTGAGTAAGGTACCGAACTCAGGTTTGCTCCCGCTTTATTTTTAAATACGCATACGGTACTTGTATGCGCCCTATAATCCAGTGCGCCTTATGTGTGTGTTAAATACAGTAATGGCACACATAACTGAGACTGCGCCTTTTAGTACAGTGCGTCTTATGGTCGTGAAAATACGGTACTTTATCAACGCAGTATCTAAAAACTTTGCACCATAGTGGTTAAAATCTCATTCTAATAAGAGTTAAAAGCGCATTCGGTTATTAGGTTTACAGGGTTATTGAATTATGGTTAACGGTTGGTAGAATTTTTTTTAAACATTATCTGCCAATTACATCTGCCACCCTTCTCCAAATCTGTGCCCCTACCTGGCCCCCCCAACAAAAATTTTTTAGACACGCCACTGGCTGCACCATACCAGACTGTGATGGAGGAGCACAGGACAGACTCGGGTAGCTGGTGACACACTGAGCTGAGAGAGTTTTGAAGAGAGAAGTTCAGGCACGATGGTGTTAAAAGCCGAACTAAAGTCCACAAACAGGACCCTGGCATAAGTTCCCGGGGGGTCGAGGTGTTACAGGATGTAATGCAGCCCCATGTTCACTGCCGACCTGTTTGCCCAGTAGGCAAACTGCAGAGAGTCCAACTGGTGGCCTGTAATATCCTTCAGATGGACTAACACCAGTCGTTCGAAGGATTTCATGACCACAGACGTCAAGGCGACAGGTCTGTAGTCATTCAGTCTTGTGATGGTGGGTTTCTTGGAGCGTTTGAAGCAGGAGGGAACTTCACACAGCTCCAGGGATCTGTTGAAGATGCGAGTAAAGATGGGAGCCAGCTGTTCACCACAGGTTATGAGGCAGGAGGGTGAGATGTTTGGACCGGGGGCTTTCCTGGGCTTCTGTTTCTGAAATAGTCGGCTCACATCCTCAGTGTGTATTCTGAGTTTCAGGGAGGAGGAAAGGGGGGTGAGAGGTGTGATGGAGGTCATTGAGTCTGGATTGGAGAGGGTGGTGGTGGTCGTTGAGTCTGGAATGGGGAGGGTGAAGGGGGGAGAGGTGGAAGGTGTGTTGGTGGTCAATGTCTGAAGCAATGTCTCTGGGGAGGGGAGGGTGAGGCGTGGGAGTCTGTCCATCTCAAACCTACAGTAGAAAGTGTTTAACTCGTTGGCCAGGTCTTTGTTTACTTCAACAGTGGGTGGGGGGTGTTTGTAACTGGTGATTTCCTGCAGGCCCCTCCACACTGACGAAGGGTTGTTGGCTGAGAGCCGTTCTTCCAGCTTCTGGGAGTATATCCTTTTAGCTGCTTTGATCTCTTTGGTCAGTGTGATCCTGGCTTGCTTGTACAGGGCCCCGTCACCACTCCTGTAGGCGTCCTCCTTGGCCTTACGAAGATGTTGGAGTTTAGGAGTGAACCATGGTTTATTGTTGTTGTATGTGCAAAAGGTCTTAGTTGGCACACACATGTCTTCACAAAAACTGATGTATGTCATATGTTCTAATGTTAGCCGATTTGGTTTTTGCATTTCTTGATGAAGTGGACCGACTTAAATATTTGTCCATAGCTCAACCCTTGATGATGCACATGTATTTACATGCCACTAGTTTGAGAGCCACTGACCTAAAGGACACATCCAGATGTCAAAGGATTAAGAAGATTGTAATAAAACACAAGTTGAAGAGTTGTGAATGATACATATCTATATATCTTCTCTTCATTTCAATTCTTATTATGAGTTAAAGAGGACAGATGTTCTGATTTTACTCGTATACTTCACATAATGACTCAGTGCAAAGTTTTTGTTATTGTTAGAGTGAGTTAAGTTACCTTTAAATCCCAAATGGACCTGAGAAAGGTGATGATGGTGACATTCTAAAGACACTTCTGGAACGTGGTCGGAATGTCTGTCAAAAAACTGCACAAACGCTAATGTCAAGGAAGAACACTGATCAGGTAATTTATACTGGTATTTATTTAAACTACTTAGCACCGTTACAATGAGCTAAAATTGTCTTTACTCCAGTTTTTGCTGCCGCTGCTAATAGGGAATGAGGGATTTCTGTGTATGTTGATTTACTCACTTATGTGGTTGTAAATCCAGCGTGGCAGAGCAGAGAATGAGGCCTCTTTGTCTCCTGCCTTCTCATTGGCTGACCTCCACTCCAACCCCGACCACCCTTCAGTTACAAGTTTTGCAACACATTCCTCGCAAACAGTGTTGCAAAAGTATCAGTCTATCAGTCAACACATTTGTGAATATTTTTTTCTGTAACTACATTTAAAACACATGTGCAGTGTGTAGAGAAGAATATGTACAGGTGGAAATTTCAAAGTACACGTTCACATTTTTTCTACAAATTGTTCCTTTTTATTCTACAACTTCTCATATTTTGCAACAATACTTTCATACATTCCCAGCTTCTGTAACCAGTGGGTGCAGTGTGGTCGGCACCAGCTCTGCTGCCCTCTGAAGGTTTCTCCAGCAGCTCAAAAGCACTTACCCTCCACCTGCAGAAGAGTGAACTGTATGTCTTCCTCTGCTGTAACAAACACAGCCCCCCCTCCTACACCACTGGAAACTTCCACTGCTCCTAAACTCCTCTGACGAGCCCAAAACCAGCACAAAGTGTACCTCACATCCACACAATAATTCACCTATTGATTGATAAGCAGTTTACTTCAGCACACAGTCAACCAACACAGTCACCAAATAACAGTGTCAGCGATATGGGATTTACTCATATAAAAATCATTTAAAAAAAAAAGTATTTCAGACTAAACAGTTGAAATATAAAAAAATGAAATGCATGCCATTATATGTTTGTATATCCACAATGTAAATGTTGTTTGTCATAAATCAACACTAATGTTTTTGAGACTGACAATAAAAAAATCAGCGCTGAACTTGTTTAAAGCCTGAGTCTTCCTTCTGCAATGCAGTTGAATAACTCCTGAGTCATGGGTATGTAGCCCTTATTGTCTTCCAGGTAAAACAGAGGATCCTTGATGAGAGCAGGGTTAAAACCTTCCTCTGCCAGCTTCACCTTCATCTGCTTAAAGGTGCTCGTCACTACCAATGCATCCTGCCAGAGAAAAATGAAATGGTTACGGGATTATTGCTAAGATGTATGCAGATATATCTTAATGTGATCATTCATTGAACTTTATTTACCTGTATGCGAACGAAGCGTGGTCTTGCGTAGCTGGGCAAGTAGTTTTTGACATGCTGATATAAAGCTTTGCCATCAAAGTCCATATTTTCTTTCAGTTTCAGCGCTGCCATTCCAATTCTTCCCTCGTGTCCTATTCAGTGAAGGTCAAAGTAAAAAGAAGAAAAAATACCCTCAGAATCCAGACATTAATCCAAACATTCAGAGTTTTTCCTCAGTATGTCAGAAATATGCGATTAATCTCAGAATTCCAAGAAGAAACTTCTGAATTCTGAGTTTTTTTTCTTAGAATTCTGGAAAAAAAGGATGTTTGTAATATTTATGAGACATACATCACAATAATCTTGCTTTTAGTGTCATTATTACCTGGCACCTTCACACCATAGACATTAGCCTCTTCAACAAAGTCAACTG